TCTCTCCTCCTCACAAATAGTATCTTACATGTTGTACATCAAGTTGGCAATTAATAATGGCTACAGAAAATGATTCAGTTACCCATCCCAGCCTTAGTTACATGGTGACATAAAACGCACTGTTAACAAACCTCTGAATTTGATATATAAGAACTTTTCAGGTGTTGCAGGTCTTAGATGTTTCCCCCTTTGGTGGAAACCCATGAGCATGGTATGGTGCTGACAAACCTACAAACATCATGAGGTCAAAAAGGAAAACCGTCTCCATGGTCAAGTGGACAGAGTAGAAGGTCTGTGGTTTGATTCCATGCTCTGTCATACCAAAAGACGTAAAAAGATGGTACTTATTGTTATCCAGTGCAGTTAGGAGATAAAATAAGGACTGGTCACTCAGAGTTAGAATACTGTTTCCGAGTGGGGTATCCATTTTAAAACTGTGACATGGTATCTCAGTGGGCTAGCACTATAACACCGGCACTGGTCCATACTATTAAAAGCATTGTTGTAGTGCTAAGATCACTTTGTGCTTGTGAACCGTAAAGGTTGGGGTGTGTTTTTTCTTCACAGTTTGTTGTTTACAACACACTCGACAATATTCCATCTGAAAGGCAGCAGCTTGTAAATGATCAAGTCTGGACTAGACAATCCAGTCATTGATATTGTGAGCAACGTCTCACACTGTTGGGGAATGATGACACATGATGATTTTGTGCACTGACATCTTAACACACATTTGAAAAGGGATGTTTTCTTGGGACCATGTATAGTCCCATGACACTAATGGGGTGGCATAGTAAGGGACCATGTATAGTCCCATGACACTAATGGAGTGGCATAGCAAGGGACCATGTATAGTCCCATGACACTAATGGAGTGGCATAGTAAGGGACCATGTATAGTCCCATGACACTAATGGGGTGGCATAGTAAGGGACCATGTAAAGTCCCATGACACTAATGGAGTGGCATAGTAAGGGACCACGTATAGTCCCATGACACTAATGGGGTGGCATAGTAAGGGACCATGTATAGTCCCATGACACTAATGGGGTGGCATAGTAAGGGACCACGTATAGTCCCATGACACTAATGGGGTGGCATAGCAAGGGACCATGTATAGTCCCATGACACTAATGGGGTGGCATAGTAAGGGACCATGTACAGTCCCATGACACTAATGGAGTGGCATAGTAAGGGACCATGTATAGTCCCATGACACTAATGGAGAGGCATAGCAAGGGACCATGTATAGTCCCATGACACTAATGGAGTGGCATAGTAAGGGACCATGTATAGTCCCATGACACTAATGGAGTGGCATAGTAAGGGACCATGTATAGTCCCATGACACTAATGGAGAGGCATAGTAAGGGACCATGTATAGTCCCATGACACTAATGGAGTGGCATAGTAAGGGACCATGTATAGTCCCATGACACTAATGGGGTGGCATAGTAAGGGACCATGTATAGTCCCATGACACTAATGGAGAGGCATAGCAAGGGACCATGTATAGTCCCATGACACTAATGGAGTGGCATAGTAAGGGACCATGTATAGTCCCATGACACTAATGGAGTGGCATAGTAAGGGACCATGTATAGTCCCATGACACTAATGGAGTGGCATAGTAAGGGACCATGTATAGTCCCATGACACTAATGGAGTGGCATAGCAAGGGACCATGTATAGTCCCATGACACTAATGGAGAGGCATAGCAAGGGACCATGTATAGTCCCATGACACTAATGGAGTGGCATAGTAAGGGACCATGTATAGTCCCATGACACTAATGGGGTGGCATAGTAAAGGACCATGTATAGTCCCATGACACTAATGGAGAGGCATAGCAAGGGACCATGTATAGTCCCATGACACTAATGGAGCGGCATAGTAGGGGACCATGTAAAGTCCCATGACACTAATGGAGTGGCATAGTAAGGGACCATGTATAGTCCCATGACACTAATGGAGTGGCATAGTAAGGGACCATGTATAGTCCCATGACACTAATGGGGTGGCATAGTAAGGGACCATGTATAGTCCCATGACACTAATGGGGTGGCATAGTAAGGGACCATGTATAGTCCCATGACACTAATGGAGTGGCATAGTAAGGGACCACGTATAGTCCCATGACACTAATGGAGTGGCATAGTAAGGGACCACATATAGTCCCATGACACTAATGGGGTGGCATAGAAAAAAACTATGTATAGTCCCATGACACTAATGGGTTGGCATAGTAAGGGAGCATGTATAGTCCCATGACACTAATGGAGTGGCATAGAAAAAAACCATGTATAGTCCCATGACACTAATGGGGTGGCATAGTAAGGGACCATGTATAGTCCCATGACACTAATGGAGTGGCATAGTAAGGGACCATAGATGGGACCTAGAACTAGGGGTGACTATTCGTCGGGAAATCACTATTACGATAACTATTGATATTGAAAGAAACTATTGTGATAACTATCGATAGTTTTCAGTTTATCATTTTCAATGGATTTTAGAGTTGAATTAAACCTTGGAACTGAAGTTTTCCTTTGAATGTGATAACCATAACAACACATAAAAAGTAAACTTTGAGATATGACTTATTTCAAGGTAGACACAATTTGAAGTAAAAACAATTACTGGCAATACTATTATGGTGGTACAACTATTGTTCTACTTGAATTTGTAACTATTGCAAGAGTTAGTGCAAACATTAAAATGCCCCCAACAGTTGGCCCAACTGTTTGTATTTACTTGGGGATAATGCAATTGAATACAGTAAGACACAATTACTCTACCATTACAGTAAAAATATAATAACCGTCAGCATGACTCAGCATGATCAGGAGCATGCCAAGTAAAAGTGGGAAATACATTAGGCAGGTTGGAAGTAGACAAATTAAATGAGGTTACATATATCTTCACTTGAATGGTACACAAATTATACTATGGCAAACATTACTTCGTTGTTTCTGGTCTTAACTATTGTATTACATCAGACATATTCATGTTTATCAAATGTGTAAGCTTAGTATGACCTAGAACATACACCAGGGAATTATTTTCAGGTACTGAACATATCGGACACGTAACTTCTAAATCATTTACCGTATTTGACGTAATAAGCGCCCAACTCTAATAAGCGCCCACGGCGATATTTGCTAATATATTGGCTAGTGAACAATCCCAATAAGCACCCCTTCCGATTGACCAATGTACACAAGACTTATTTACTCGTGTATTATACGCACTCAGGTGTTATATGTACCCTTAATTATGGGCAATTAAATTATGGAAAAATATATCTGTCGTATATAAACATTTCAGGGTGTCAGCATAGACCACAAAATTTACATTCACCATTTACCACAATAATATTCTAATAAGAGCCCCTTATTTCTAATTTTGAGAGCGCCATGGGCGCTTATTACGTCGAATACGGTATGTCACACTGGTGACCATGAAATGAGTGTATTCAGAGAAAATTTGATCCACTTCTGAATTTAATCAAAACCCTTCTATAATTTAAATTGTTGACACGTAATTAATATATTATGAACATAAAAAGAGAGATTCACTAATGCTGCAATTTGACATCTACCTGCGGCAAAGGAGTTAACTGACTATAAAAGTCCTGTTTCCACACTTGCCAAACAAGACTGGAATTTCTGGGCTCGATCATAGGGCCACCAGTGGCTATTACAACTTATGTCCTTCCTATTGACAAAATGGTGTCGCCCAGTCAAGACAATATGACCAATAATCAAGATCTATATTGTAATAAAACAGGTTTTACTTCACGAAGTGCATAAAACGTGTGAGAAGCTTGACAAAAAATATGAAAAGATTTGAAAGCTATCTGTTGACTCTAAGCTGATGGTACACATGCTTTACAAATCCTGCAATCGACCGAAATCTACACTGCAGTTTATGAACCAGTTGTCGATTTCATGTGATTTTGATTGGACTATGCATAGACTTGTTAGTCCAGGCAAAATATAACTCCATAATTCCAGCTTAGTTTGGCAAAGGTTGAAACTGGACTCTTATAATCAGTTAACTCCCTTGCCTCGGAAAAATTGCAATTTGATAATGTGAATGAAGGCATACTTCTAAAAATCTAATGCCAATTGTACCTATAGAGTGGTTGTCGATTGAACATTGTCATAAAGATGCTAGTGTCCTCCACTTGGTCAGGAAAGCCAATAACAATTCACATTCTATTTATTCAAATAACTACAGTGGTCATAGTTGCTCCTATACCCTGAATAATGGACCTAACTGGGACAGTACAGAATCTGCTTTAAAAATATAAACCCTGTGGGGACTCCTGTTGAAATTGGGACCCAGCAACTTATGCTTGTTGTAAGAGCAACAAAATGGTTTGGGTGGTCAGGCTTAGTGACTTAACCGGTTGACTGCATGTCATCGTACCAGATAGCATGGGACTGTACTCATAATATCAATCAATGGTTTGTCTGGTACAAACTCTATTATTTATAGACATCACATAGACAGTAAGATGCCAATTATGGCGGAAAACAGCACACAAGATATCTAGCTATTTGTCCTTTTGCTTAAAATTCAATTATATATTTGGAATAATGGATACTGATTTTTGATGACATGCACATGATCAAAGACATGTACAGCAAAAAATAATTATTTGAGAAAGTTGAGAAATAGGATATCATTGACATAGCATCTCAGGGCCTATGACAGCGTCTATATGATTCTATATACTTGATTAATATGATCAAAACTTCATAAAGGTAACGAAACATATGTAATAAACACTAATATTGATTATGATGCATCGAACGGTAAGCCTTTAACAATACACAATTATAAAACTATATTTACACATTATGTTATTCTAAAGATACATTCACGTGACGAATGAGTAATTGTCTGTAATTAATCAGCTGATTTCAAAGCTGAAAGTTTATTTTGATAACAACTTGCAGACGAATTTTTCTGCTTCAATCATGTCAATTTACCTGCTCAGAAGCCAGAAGAGAATACCAATGATAATCAATGTCCACACAAAAGAAGGCATGTTTATAGTGAATGTTCAGTTGATCTTTCGAAATGTGTACGTCTGTCACTCATTGTTGTAAACATGTTTCATTCCCTCCCACCGAAACGGGCACCTGTCAGCTGCCATGTTGTTTAGAAATATGGGGCAGCGGAAGTACTACTTCGCAAAAACTAATTACATGTGTTATTGTAAAAAGCCTGAGATGAATGCGCTGTCTCGTTTGCGTAAAACAGACTTATTCATAAGATTCATGTGCAGAAAACATGTAAACAATATACAACAATACTAGTAAATAAAATTATCATTATATTAGTCTTTATATATGTAAATAAATGAGAGAGAGGTTATTTACGGACATACATGAGCTTCAATTTATCCCAAAAAAATATTTCGTTCTTTATTTCATACGTGTGTGTATATCCTTTCTAAGTTTAAAGATAACAGGATCCACAATCTTTTTAAAAAAATAAGAACCGACCAAAACCGAAAAGAAATTAAAACGGAATATTGACATTGGGGCAAAACCATATCTTTCTTGATATCAGGGAACAATTTCGGAAACGAGGTGCTACGTCCCCGATACACGATATATTGTTAAACGGGTAGTACATATTGTTGAATAAGAAAATGTGACTTTTGCACATGGATTTCTAATTGTGAAATCCGAGCATGAAATGGTGATGGCAAGTACTGTAATTCCTCGAATAAACGCTGGGACAAGATAAAACGCCAGGCCTCGGTTAAATGGCACCGCAAGCTATAATTGTGAAGATCCGGGGTAGAATAGGTCTTCAGCAACCCATGCTTGCCGTAAAATGCGACTATATTTGTCGTAAGAGGCGACTAACGGGATCGGGTGGTCAGGCTCGCTGACGTGGTTGATGCATGTCATCGGTCCCAATTGCGTGGATCGATGCTCATGTTGTCAATCACTGGATTGTCTGGTCCAGGCTCAATTACAGCGGTTAATTACAGACCACCGTCATATAGCTGGAATATTGCTGAGTGCGGCGTTAAACGACAAACAAACATATAATTACGCGTATACTGACCAGAGGTTCACATATACCCTGTATTACTTTAGGAATTTGATGGCTGTGCGTTCGACACTGTTCGAATCCAGGTGTCGCTTGAGGAATACGATCTTTGAACAAAATACCCATGTTCGTGGTTTTCACCCAGACATCAGCCTTTGTCATGCACATTTAACCTTTCTGTACCACAAAAGGCGACTATGCTTGTGGTAAAAGGCGACTAACGGGATCGGGTGGTCAGGCTCGCTGACTTGGTTGATGCATGTCATCGGTCCCAATTGCGTGGATCGATGCTCATGATGTCAATCACTGGATTGTCTGGTCCAGACTCGATTATTAACAGACCGCTGTCATATAGCTGGAATATTGCTGAGTGCGGCGTTAAACAACAAAAAAACAAACAAAACATTGAGATGACGCGCCGTAATGCAGCTGTAATATAGCGTTCAATTTGGTGTTGAACTCAACGAACTCACAAGCTCATTGAGGCAAAACAAGGATATAAAAAAGTGCCTTTCGTAACACGTTGATAAATATATGGAGTAGATCACTGATTCACTGAAACTGTGAAGATCCGGGTTGGAATTGGTCAGCGGCACATGCCTGCCGTAAAAGACTAACGGGATCGGGTGGTCAGGCTCGCTGACTTGGTTGATGCAGTATGATCCCAGTTACGTAGATCGATGCTCCTGATGTCAGTCACCGTATAGGTCATGGATGGACATTCACCTTGATCTACTAACACCTGGTTATGCTCAGTTTCACAATAGTCTGTTTTGTTCATATTTTTACACTCTTTTACGTGTAAAAAGACATAAAAACCTGTGATACGCTGTATTTGTGCCAAGGCCCAATTAGTACTAATTGAGTTGTTTGAATACTTATATATTTTGTATATTAACTGCATTCATTTAAAATCTGAGATCGAAAAAACAGGGTTTTTTTCATTTCCGTGAGTACTTTAGTAGGAAGAGACGACATACCATGTGCATTATCGTAACACGTTGATAAATATATGGAGTAGATCACTAATTCACTGTAACTGAAGATCCGGGTTGGAATTGGTCAGCGGTCCATGCCTGCCGTAAAAGACTAACGGGATCGGGTGGTCAGGCTCGCTGACTTGGTGGATGCATGTCACAGTATCCCAGTTACGTAGATCGATGCTCCTGATGTCAGTCACCGTATTGTCTGGCTCAGACTCAATTATTTACAAACCGGGTAAAGGAAAAGTCAGCTATAAGGCTATATAATTCTGTAGAGTATTGGGGTAAAAGAAAAGTCACACCTTGCCAGCTATAATGTTATATATTCTATAGGATATTAGGGTAGAAAAAGTCAAACCTTGTCAGCTATAATCCTATATATTTCATAGAGTATTGTGGTAACAAAGTCACACCTTGTCAGCTGTAGTGTTATATATTCTATAGGATATTAGGGTAAAAAAAGTCAAACCTTGTCAGCTATAATGCTATATATTTCAAAGAGTATTGTGGTAAAAAGTCACATCTTGTCGGCTATAATGTTATATATTCTATAGGATATTAGGGTAAAAAAAGTCACATCTTGTCAGCTATAATGTTATAAATTCTACAGAGTATCGAGGTAAAACAAAAGTCACATCTTGTCAGCTATAATGCTATATATTCTACAGAGTATCGGGGTAAAAAAGTCACATCTTGTCAGCTATAATGTTATATTTTCTACAGAGTATCGGGGTAAAAAAAGTCACATCTTGTCAGCTATAATGTTATATATTCTACAGAGTATCGGGGTAACAAAAGTCACATATTGTCAGCTATAATGTTATATATTCTACAGAGTATCGGGGTAACAAAAGTCACATCTTGTCAGCTATAATGTTATATATTCTATAGAGTATCGGGGTAACAAAAGTCACATCTTGTCAGCTATAATGTTATATATTCTACAGAGTATCGGGGTAAAACAAAGTCACATCTTGTCAGCTATAATGCTATATATTCTACAGAGTATCGGGGTAACAAAAGTCACATCTTGTCAGCTATAATGCTATATATTCTACATAGTATCGGGGTAAAACAAAGTCACATCTTGTTAGCTATGATGCTATATATTCTACAGAGTATCGGGGTAACAAAAGTCACATCTTGTCAGCTATAATGCTATATATTCTACAGAGTATCGGGGTAAAAAAAGTCACATCTTGTGAGCTATAATGTTATATATTCTGTAGAGTATTTGGGTATTGTATTGGGAATTGCGGTGAACGAAAAGTCTCATCTAAAGCTAAAAGTCACCGTCAAGAATAAGTTAGTGCGTATTGACACGGTGACACATGTTTAACGGAAACAGCATTGTCGGGAGCGTGTCTCATGATCACATATATATGACAGGATACTTTGGTCCACTAATTGTTTAACCAGTACCCGCCTATACACGCCTCACCCTCTGCAGTGATCTTACTCACTACACGTGGTTAATTTTCATCCACCCACGCGTCCCGTGTAGTCGTGTCAGCGTAGCCTGGCCGTGGGGTTGAATCCAAGAAGCCCTCAGAAGCCCCGTACAGTGATCCTTATCCAATCCCATTGGTTTCATTAATTCATTTGAAAATGACAAACGTTTACATCGGAAATACACTGTATATAACAGCATATTCCTCCGCCCCTCTATAACGCAACAATACGGATTCATAAAGACAGAGTTTTGTTTTTATCCAAGCACGCCCCGTCAGTCTTGATTTATCATTTAATCATACAAATAATCGGGTTTAGTTGGTTGGTTGGTTTGTTGTTTAACGCCGCACTCAGCAATATTCCAGCTATATGACGGCGGTCTCTAAATTATCGAGTCTGGACCAGACAATCCAGTGATTAATATCATGATCATCGATCCACGCAATTGGGATCGATGACATGCATCAACCAAGTCAGCGAGCCTAACCACCCGATCCCGTTAGTCGTCTTTTACGGCAAGCATAGTCACCTTTTACGGCAAGCATGGATTGCTGAAGACCTATTCTAACCCGGAATCTTCACGGGTCTCGGGTTTAGTGCTCATCTTAGAGTGAGTATGGTTTTACGCCGCTTTCAGCAATATTCCAGCAATATCACCTCGGGGTACACCAGAAATGGGCTTCACACATTGTACCCACGTGGGAAATCGAACCCGGGCCTGCGGCGTGACGAGCGAACGCTTTAACAACTAGGCTACCACACCGCCACCTTATTTTAGGTGTTCATCTTCCCGAGGCAAGGGAGTTAACTGACTATAAAAGTCCAGTTTCCACCCTTACCGAACTATGCTGGAGTGAGTGAGTGAGTTGGGTTTAACGCCGCTTTTAACAGTATTCCAGTCATATCACGGTGTGTCAGCTTAATGTGGGAGGAAAGCCCGAAGTGACGAGGGTCTCAGACGTTTACCACTTCGGTGAAACCCACGAGCACGGGTATGGTGCTGACAAACCTAGAAACATAATTGGGGTGAACCGGGATTCGATCCCACAATCATAGGTTTCTGGCGTGCCCTAGGGCCACAACTCCACTGCGAATCGCGGCGCCTTAGACGACTTGGCCACCCGTGCCCCGAACTATGCTGGAAGTATGGAGTTATATTTTGGCTGGACTAACGAGTCCAATCCAAATCGCATACCGAAATCGACACCCAGTTCGTAAACTGGGTGCCGCAAGAGTCCCGCCAACTCGGCGTCGAAACTGGACTTTTATAGTCAGTTAACTCCCTTGCCTCGGGAAGATACAAGCTCCTTCCCAGCGCGTGACACCATTACAAGAATCTTGAAATTTGGCCTCTAACCCCAAATGTAGTAACGTTCATACTTTTGTTTATGTCTTTGGGAATGCCATCATAGTTCACTTTGAAAAGGTTTAGGGCGGACCTTGTTTTCCAGGTGAAGATGAATACTTTGTTGTCTGTATAAGCAGATTGGTTCGAGATTGCAGACAAACTGAAAATCAACCAACTTCTCCCTTACATTCTTACTATATCAATTACATGATAGTTTTAATGAAATAGAACTTCAAATTGACAAACAAACAAAGTTATTTAGCAGGGGTAAGTGTATTTGGCGTCACGACAGTCGTCGTTTGTT